AAAAAGAAAAAAATGCAATTTATGATTCCAAGGCACATTCTGATCTCCTGGGCTGGATTCATTGATCCTTTCAAGTTTGTTTTTGTTCTCTTATAGAGATTCTAGTTTATGTATATAGTTCTTATTTAGATGGTCTGAGGATCACCTTCTACACCCACTTATATATTTATCCTTTTCGTGGCTAAACTGCAACATTTTCTAATTACCTGGTTGGTTCTCTCATCCATATTATGATTCTTTTTAGTGAAATTCCTGGAATAGATTTCGATTTTTAAAGTTTCATTCTTCTAAGATATTCTTTAATCGCTTCTCTTTCATGTCTTTATGCTTGATTGTATCGCCTTCCATTTTACACAATTATTTCTTCTGGTTGGCTATTTCAATTCCTTCTTTTGTTTCCATTTTGTTCTTATTCCTTACCAGGATTAAACAATTTTCAAAGACAATTTCTTTACCTTTCGAATTCCAGTCGAGTTCGTTATATCCACTAACACGCAAACACCTTTGGGGAAATGTATGAATCGATCGCTTCTCCCCGCCCCCCAGCTATGGGTTGAATAGCAGAAGAGACCGAGTTTCATAGCCTTGGTTGGTAACCAGTCTACCGCAGAAAGAAATGGCAATCTACTGCGCGAAAATCTTTTGCCTAGTCAGTCATGAATCGAACGAGACATGATCGCCAAAATGTGTATCACCTTTGACACTTCACTGAATGAGCTTTCCGCATTTGTCATTTGTATTAGAGTTTACAGTTTCTTTTTTTCTTGAAAAAAAAAAGACTTTATATCTACATCCATATACATCTGGTGATTCACTCGCCTCTTTTGCGACCTTAGTTGATCCATTTTTCTAAATAGACTGGGTTCTCCCAGGAAGAGAATTCGGAAGAATAATGGTCTACATTAGTCTTTCCTGCCTAATGGCTACAGTACATATGATACCCATATGATTCTAATATGTTACACAACTCATGACGTGACGAATGCTAATTTGATCATTTTCGAATATTCAGTTCAAAATATTCAGTAGTATTGGATTATGTACTTGTATTAACCATCCTCATAGGGGATCATTGTATTCTCTGTTTATTGCTTCTTTTTTCTTCTAAATATTATTATTCTTCGCTATTTTCTTTTTTACTACATTCGTTTTCACATTCTTCTTCTTCTTCTTCTTCTTCTTCTTCTTCTTCTTCTTCTTCTTCTTCTTCTCCTCCTCCTCCTTCTTCTTCTTCTTCTTCTTCTTCCTATTATTATTATTATTATTATTATTATTATTCCTATTATTATTATTATTATTATTATTATTGTTGTCATTATTCGCTGTCTGCTTTTTGCTAGTTACTGTTCTCCAGTGATTTGTTCCACTTGCCAATTTTTAATTACCTTTCTGATAAAGTTCACACCAAGTCATCAGAACTTTTATCATCCATGGTTGTTGGTTAATGTCGTAAGCGGTCTTGAAGTCTATAAACGCTGTGGCAAATTTTTTTTTTTTTTTCTAATATGAAATTATTTTTCATTGTGATTTTATTATTGCATCGGAGTTCCCGGGGGTTTATCTGGTTGCCTTTTGACATGCTTTCTGTCCCGTTTGAAATGTTTTTCGACTTTTTTGAGGGTAATCATTTTTGTCCGGTATTTGTGCTGTTAATATGTAACACATCATTTGTAAGCATGTGTGAAGGTGTTTGGAATTTTTAATTTATTCGTATATTTCTGGATAAGTGTTATCATCCCTCAAGTCTTCAATAAAGGGAATGTCGCTTCTTTCAGACTTTTTAGAGTAACTATTGTGCCAGTCCGTCATGGACAGTCGGAATCCATGGATCACATTATAACAATGATTCTTTTTCTGTCGCTTCTAATTCGTTTTTTCTGTACTGACGAATTGCTCAGCCTATATTGTGCGCTTTTCTTTGTTCCCACATCTTTCTTCAGAAATGTTTTCCTGAGGTAGCATAAAGCTGCAAGATTTTCTCAGTTGTTTCCATAGTTACTTCTTGATGCTAGTAATGTAATTATATATCTTATTTTCGAATATTGAGTTCTGCTTGTATTACTTGATTCTGTCTTCTTGGGATCATCGTATTTACTTTTTCTTCCAAATTATTATCCTTTGTCAAGATTTTCTTCTTGACTACCTTCGTCTTTACATTATAATAACTCATCTCATTTTTTCTTCATTATTACTATTATTAGTAAGTACTTATTTAACCAATTAATTATCATGCTTTTTCACTATTTTGTTGTTAACCTTTATTATTATTATTATTATTTCATTTCTGTCTTCTTTGTTAAAAAGAATAATAATAATAATAATAATAATAATAATAATAAACTTTGCCAAAGACGACAATGAGTTGAAAGGCCTCCTCAATATTGTAAAATACTTCAGTGACGACATAGGTATGAACTTCGGATTAGATAAATGTGCAAAAGTAACTTTCAAGAAAGGTAGAATTACAGAAACACCCTTAATAGATTTAGATTTTGTCACAAAGATTAGGGAACTGGAGCAAGATGAAGTTTATAAGTAACTAGGAATTAGCGAAGGAGATGGCATACAACACCCCCAAATGAAGAAAAAAATAAGAAAAGAGTACTACAGGTGTGAACGTTTGGTACTAAATACTGAGCTAAACTCAAAAAACAGAATATCAGTCATAAACACCTTGGCTGTCCCTGTGGTGCATAACAGCTTTAATATCCTTAACTGGACCATAGCTGAAATAAAGCGAATGGACGTCAGAATGAGAAAGCTTCTCACTTGCTACCGCATGCATCATCCCTAAGCTGATGTTAATCGTCTGTATGTGCCCAAATCCGAAGGAGGCAGAGGATTAGTTCAACTAGAACTGTCCTACAAATGTACAATTGGCCTCCAAAGATACTTGGAAACTACAGAAGACTGGATGAGGGTATGTGTCAAGGAAGATGAAAGTAGTAAGCGTCTTTACTCCGTAATAAAGGAAGCCAACAAATTCAAAATGGAGTTCCAAATGGGCGCAGAAATGCAAGTAAAGCGCAATACACCGGCTGAAGTTGCAAAATACTTAAAAAAAGAAAGCAAACCGACCAGATACAGAAACAATGTCAAGATAAACCGCTTCATGGCCAATACTCTGCCCGTACCAAACAAGCTGACGTAGACAAAACCCGTACCCATCAGTGGCTACGTAGTGCAGGGTTGAAAGCGGAAACTGAAGGTTTTATCCTTGCTGCACAGGACCAATGCTTGATAACTAGGAATTATCAAGCACATATAGTAAAATATTGTGTCAGCCCAAAATGCAGATTCTGTGATAAATATCCAGAAACGACTGATCATCTTGTATCAGGTTGCACGGTGTTGGCACCCACTGAATATAAAACCCGACATGACAGAGTGGGCCAATATCTGCACTGGAAAATCTGCAACTTCCACGGGAAGGAAACTGAAAGAAAATGGTATGAACACCACCCAGACCCGGTTACCGAGATAGGACCTGTTACAATTCTATGGGACTACACAATACACACTGACAGAACAGTCAAGGCCAACCGCCCAAATATTGTTATTAAAGACCACAAACAAAAACGGTGCCTCCTTATTGATATGGCAGTCCCTGCTGACTGCAATGTATCTTTGAAGATATTCAAAAAGCTGTCAAAATACAAGGACCTTGAAATAGAAATCTCGAAAATGTGGCATATGGGAACATCAACAATCCCTGTTGTAGTTGGAGCCCTAGGATTGGTTGGAAAAGATTGCAGTAGACTAATTGAAGGGATTCCTGGAAGTCCATGTCTCAAGGAGATACAAAAATTGTTCTGACAAGTACAGCCCACACTTTACGAAGGGCTTTGTCCATGTAATTTTTTTTTAATAATAATAATAAAAGAGAAATTAATTCATAGGTAATGAAAAAAAGGGAAAAATAACACAATTAGTAAGAAAAAAATTGGAAATGAAAGAATTGAAACTTAAATAAAGTCAAAGAAACTTAGAATAAAAAGGAAAATTTTCATTAGAAAATGGTATAAAATTTACAATTCCTTACATTATGAGAGGGACGCACAAGTGTCTTTGTAAAGTTTAACCTTCCGACGCCAATGAATGATACTTATCTAGTTTTATAGGATAGACCATCAGACCTACTACATTTTGGTGGAAAAGCGATCAAAGAGTTCATTAGACAAAAAAGGGTAGAAGCAAGGGAAAGAAAAGGAAAAAAAAATACATTTCGGGTCATTTCTCAACCTGCTCGCCACTAAAAGATAAATTTTAATTTTTCACTCAAAGAGAAGTCATAACATTGTTACACCTGTAGCCATATGAAAAAAAATCTCAAAAATGTGGCACATGGGAACATCAACAATACCTGTTATAGTTGGAGCCCTCGGATTGGTTGGAAAAGATTCCAGTAGACTAATTGAAGGGATTCCTGGAAGCCCATACCTAAAGAAATAGAAAAAAAAATGGTTTCACGAATACAGCCCACATTTTACGAAGGACTTTATCTTTGTAAATTGTGTGTGTGTGTGTCAGAAAAATGTCATAATGCCATTTCTAACCATAGTACACACCAGAAATCAAAGGAAATAATAATAATAATAATAATAATAATAATTTTACAAAAAAATTTTCTCACGAGTATACACAAAAAATTGTTCTCACGAGTACAGAGCACACGTTATGTAAGGCTTTATCTATGTAAATTTTTTTTTATTTTTATTGGTCAGTGGAAAATGTCATGATGCTATTTCTAACTTTAGGTATCTGGGCGGGACCCGGAAAGAAATGTGTACACACCAGAAATCAAAAGAAATAATAATAATAATAATAATAATAATAATAATAATAATAATAATAATAGTGAGAAGGAAAAGGAGATGTAGAAGAAGACGAACTTAGCCAAGAAGATGGTGAAGGAAAATCAATAATACGGAAAAGAAACAAATGTAGAAAGTAGATGACAAAGATAATCAGGAAGACGACGAATAAGAGTGAGAATAATAATGATTTTCTTATGGACGACCTTTTTGTCTTTTTCCTCTTTCCCTTTTCTTTCTTGTCATTTTTATTTTTTTCTTCTCATTTTTCTTGGTGACCTTTATCCTTTCCTTACTACGTCTTTTTGCGATGTCTTCTTATTTAACATCGTTTTCTCTTTTTATATTTTTTACTTCTCTCTATTAATATTATTATTAATTTCTTCGTCTATGACTCCTCTTTTTATGATTGTCGGCGTCTTTCGTAGAAGAAGAAGAAGAAGAAGAAGAAGAAGAAAGAAGAAGAAGAAGAAGAAGAAGAAGAAAGGGGAGGGAATAGCAAAAAATGGAGAATTAGTTAATCTCACTCATTGCCGTGTCGGTGAGGATGTGCCAAAATGATTATATCGAGCAAACAAGCGAAGATTTTCAGAAAAAAATATTAATTTCGGGTTCAGACTGATGATTGACCTCAGGTCAGTGTATAGCCAGCGGCAAAGATCAAAGACATCATTTCATTCACACAAAAGCGGCCATATTTTATGGATGAAGAGAATAGGAATATGGATGAAAACTTGGCAATGGCTGGAACAAAGCCCATTTAAGGATTGCTCAACTTTTACCGCAGACTCACTGACTAACCTTTTTTTATTTGTTTTTCTCTTATTTTCCATTTTAAACCCTCGCCATATTAGCCATAGATAAAATTATGCCCACACACACACAAACACAAATGCTCACACCTATATATATATATATATATATATATATATATATATATATATATATATATATATATATATATATATGTGTGTTTGTGTGTGTGCCTGTGTCTGTGTGACTGTCCGCTCTGGGGCTAAGTGAAAGTGCTTATACGCTTGCTTGCGCGTTTATACACTACAGTTCAGAAGTTCTAGGTGACTCGTGCTAATTTTTTAAATTGGCCCAAAAAGTAATTGCTTTGTACTTTAAGTAAGAGAAAATTATAATACATGATTTTAAAAAAAAGCGAGGCATGATTTTATTAGAAATTTTATTATGATAAAAAAAAAAAAATGCAATTTATGATTCAATTTTTCTCTTGTCACAACATATTCGTTTAGCCTTGTCAAGTTCATCTCATGTTAATCGTGGAAGTGGCTTTAAACTTTTGAACTGTATCGCTTATATATATATATATATATATATATATATATATATATATATATATATATATATATATTATATATTCTATAACAATTTCTTGTACCGCACTTCTCGCTTGTGGAACTCTATTCTGCCTCCTTGTTTCCCTGTCAACTTTGATCTTTAGAAATTTAAATCCAACGTTAATCGTTAACTTTTATCTTCTTAATTCCTTTTCTTTTATTGTTCTCTTTCGTTAATAGTATTTTTCACATATTCTCTAACACTCAATAGTTCCCTTGCGTCTTAGTGGTTTTATTGACATGCTTGGGAGAAAAATGGTAAAAAAATTACTTTTGTAAATGGTATATAAGCTAATTAAGTTTTAATTCCCGAATACAGCCAGTACATTGTGGCCGTATTCATAGTTGATGTTAAGGTTTTATTTCTATATTTATTTTCCTTTAATGTTCTCTCTCCTGAATCGTGTTTTTTTCTCCTCAAATTCTCTAACACTCCTTGTATCTAAGTGGCTTTATTACTTTGCATTTTAGTGGCTTTAATGCCATGCTTGGGATGACATGATTAATATATATATATATATATATATATATATATATATATATATATATATATATATAGACAGACAGACAGAGATGGGGAGAGAGAGGGTTATATTTCTATCATTCTTCATTGTCGACTTCATCTTGGCTACTTCGTCTCTTCTTTCTTCCTCTCCTTTTTTTATCAACGATTTTATCATCATAATCATTGTCATGGTCATTTATTTCTTTACTTATTTGATAAGCTAGATAATATCTTAATATCCAGTTCCGTCAAAATTATTATCAGCTCGGAACGATCAAAGATGGCCATTTTCATTTTCACAACCGATAAATATAAACTAAAAACTCATGGAAGTCACATGCGATTTTTCTTTCATCTTTTTATTTATTTATTTAGCCACCTAGTTTGTTGATAGCTGATTTGCTCAGACTTAAAAAGCAGTATTATATATAGATGTATCCGGATATCATTGGCATCTTGTGACATAGTAACACGCCTACCAGTTCACAGTCTGTGTCAGGACTTTGGACGGTGAGCATGCTGTTATTTTTTTTCAGTGAAAGTGTTATTTTTTTAATGAAAGAGTCCAGTGAAAGTGGATATCACCTCACGGAGTTACTATCTTTATTCACTTTGAGTGAGATCAGATTGTATGCCTTCGAAGGGCTCAATATTAATTTCGGAGATATGCCTCATCGATGATTTTTCAATGTTAGTGGTTAAATGAATATTCCAACATCCGTAGACCAGGTTCTGGATGGCCAAATATGACCCCAGCTTAAAGCAGATAGAACCCCAGAAATTGACTACGCACAGGGCTTAGTAAATTAATTGT